TTATTTTTGTGCTTGTATACTCGTAAGCTTAACGTTAGGCCTTAAGTTTATTACTATTTTAACGTAACAGTTCCGCGGACATAATAACGCGTCATTATGGATAAGTCACATTATTGTTGTATACACTTATCAGTGGCGCCGATTTGTATATTTTCGTGTTCCGGGGGAAATCCGATGGCCTTCCGCCTTGCTCGAGAAAATCGTTTATAATTCGCGACTGCCGTGCGAACGGAACGTCGATAAAAGGGAAAACTGATTTTCACACGCTTAGCGTTTCTTTCCTGTAACGGTTACATTGAATGACGCCGAAAAAACAGACTTAGTCACCGTCCTGGCATGCCGCAGAGTGACGATGGCAGACCATCACTGATTGTATCACCGCCTTATAGCCACCCCCTCCCCATTATGTTCAAAGTTCTGGGGAATTCGCCCCAGTCGGTATTATCTGAGATCGGCGGCACTGTATTACACGCTAGGTATTCATTTTTAACGATAAGAATAGTTGTTTATATTAATATACATATATATTACAAATACAATATTATTATTGATTGAAAAAAAAAAAAAAAAAGCGTCTGATCAAAATATCGAGGAATTTTGTAATTTTTTCCGTAGTGTAATACGTTATAAAATATAGGTACGACGACGTTTAGTTGTTTATTATTATTATTATTATTATTTTATTTTATTATTTTTTTTTTAGTAATTTTAATACAAATATATTATACGAATAATATGACGTGTGTCAAATTGAACTTTCCCCGATCATTACTCAATAAACTTAAATAATATATAATAGATTATTATACTTCGTGATGATTGGTTTTTTTTTTTTCCGGCTTCAATTGGTTTGTATATAATTTGTATACAAACGAGTAAAATAATACAGTCGTAACGTTCACCGTTAAGTAATATTTATTATGTTATTGCATTGGAATATAATACATATTATTATACAATTTTTTTCTTCTTTTAAAAAAAAAACAACTTTTATTCATTTTTTTTTTTCATTCCTTTTGTAAAGCTTTTGGTGATGCAAAAGAGATGAGAGAAGCGGAATTTTGTATTCAGAAAGTGAGAGAGGGAGGGAGATAGGAGAAAGAGAGAGAGAGAGAGAGAGAAAAAGAGAGAAAGCGCCTCTCGGCTGTCGACATAATTTTTCCATCTCGTTGTACAAACTTAACGAGGGACGAGGTTCTCCCGTTTTTCTACATTTCCTTCGGGGAAAAAAAAAAAATTTTTTTTTCTTTGCAGGACAATGGAAACTTACGGTAGTTTTTAAATAAAGAAAGAGGGTGGTTGAAAAAAAAACTTATAATAATAATCTACCTCTTGCAAGATTCGCTATAAGGGTACGCACAATCGAGACATTATCAAAGGGTGAAAATTATAATATACCTATAACGTTTGTTAAACGTTTTTATTTCCGTTTAAAAACTATACCAGTCGACTCTTACAACAGCCGTACACGAGGAATGAAAATAATTGTTCAATTATAGTCGACCCCGTAACGTTGTATGAATACGGTCGGGGGAGGGGAATAAAATCGGAATTTTTACTGCGCGTTATTGAATTAATAATAATTTTAGATCAGCATTGATCAACGATGTACAAATACCGTAAGCAAATAATGCGACTATTCAAGTACACCGTATACATTTTGACGAAAATTCAATTCGCCAATTTCGCGTAGAGCTTGCGGTTAAACATTTTTTTTTTCCCCTTAATCAAAAATAAAAATGTTATTGATTAATATTTTTAACTAGTAAACGTATTATAGCTGAAAACTTTTTCGTGGCGTTTTATCATAACATTGAACTCAAACGCTTAGAAAATACTAAAAAAAAAAAAACTCGATGCGCCAAATTTTCCACCAAAAATCGGATTGTTCTTGGGTTAAAAAAAAAAAATGAAATGGTCGGAACTGCATTTAATTCTAAAAGACACTTCAACAAAAATGTCCGGAAAAAGAACTCGATTTAAAGATTTGAGTTTTAAAAATACTTTTTTCCCTAATCGCTTACAATTTAATAATTATCGTGGTTCAAAATCAATTTTCAATGTTCTAGGTAAAATAAAGAGTGTTCTCGAGTTTTTCAAATTATCCTAGGAAATATTTTCTGTTGACTTTGGTGCAGTTCGGTCGTTGCATTTGTTCTAATCCGAGTGCAATCCGTCTATTTTTTTTTTTTTTTTTTTTATTCAGGTTAAACGTGCGATTCGACTATCCACCGGAAACCGTCGCCGTAGGACGTTGACGATTGTGCAACAAAGATGACGGATAACGGCCGAGAACTGCGAAATGAATCGTTCCTATGTTATAACAGTCAACGATAATCGGGCACACACGGGAGCAAAATTCTATTGACGAATGTCGTATTTATCGGATGATTTTAAAAAACGCGATTCCGTTCAGCGTTTACACGTATACGTGAAGTGAATAGGTTCGCAGGCACCGAATCCGTATCGTTACACCGACAAATCCGTTATCGACGTTTTTAATAAATGATAAATCAATCGTCCCGGCAATAACCATTGTTCGCCGTGCCGTTTATTACGTTCGTTTTAGCCCCGATCATATCCAATTTCCGTTAAAACGCACGTACACGCAGGTGTACAATAACGCGATTATGAATATGTTTTACGTGCGGCCGTAACCAGTCCGCATAGGTACCGTCTGGTGTACACGCGCGCGCGCGCGCGCGCGCAATAGAAACGCGTAGGTTAAAACGGTTTTTAAACATCACAAACGGGCACGGGAACAGGAACGGCCTAACGGCAGATAACGTCCGACCACCCCCTGTTCCCTCCCGTCCGTCACGATATATTTCCAGCTGTACGGGACGAAAACGTTTCACTTCGCCGCCGTTGCAGCGTTACCGGTTAGATTTTCTTCGGGGTCGGAAGCGTAAAGAAAAAAAAAAAGAAAAAAAAAAAAAACGCCGCCAGAAGTCGAAGCGTTTATTTCGTTCGCTTTGTAGATTCCGAATTTCGATAATGTCGAATAAAATTCGTCACATTCCCTGTACGTTATTTTATTCGAAAATCTTTCGGCAATGTGTACGGACATCAATGAGGCGATTTACGTGCCGAGCGAACCGAGCGGGGTGATTCGATCACGGTGATGAAAACCACAGGTGTCTCCCTATTACTAAAACGACACCGTCCGCGAATCGAGCTGATACAAAAGAAGTAATTGTAAAAGTATACAGATTTGATCATGTTCGTGTTACGGCGATTTCGAATTTCACGGTGTTTGAATCGCCGAAATCTCAAAAATGAACACGATTTTAAAGCGGTAAAATTTGTTGACGTTTCCATCGTCTCGTTTAGCGGAACGCCGATAAAGTGCCTGGCGCGTCCGACCTCGTCTTTGTGGGCATTGTTGTACAATTCGGGTCTGGGTAAACATATTGCCGGGTCCAAAGTGCGTTCGCGGATAACAATTTATAACGAACTAACAATAGGTGTGACGAATCCCGAGCAATTTATTTCGTATAGGCGTTAGGCCAATTTAGACTCGGACCGTAGCGAGGAATGTATTGGTTTTATAACGGTTTAATTATTGTCATTATGTTTTTGTTTTTTTTTTTTTTTTTTTATTTATCCGCGAACAACTTTTTTACCATAAATCTTGTTCCGATTTTCAAGTATAGCACCTTTTCTAAATGGAAATTTAATCCGGGTGGTAGTACTTTTTTTATTTTTATTTTTTATTCCGAATTCGATATCTTTTGTTAAACGCGATTTGCGTGGAAAGCAGACGTTTAAAACAAGTACATTATATATTCTATACGAATTCACGGTCTCGATTGAAAATCCTTCTGCATATTATAACGTACATTACAGCGCTTCTCTATGTATGCTTTAGGTTCTATTTCCGTCTAAGCGTGGTTCACATGGCATTTAATATTACAGTTTTAATGTCATAAAAAATACGTTTAATACAATGTATACGTCTATCATTATTCTGCTTGAACTATAATATTCTAAAATCAAGCCAGAAAAAAAAAAAAAGAAAAAAATTATGAACGTGCTCAAAACATTAACGATATCCTATTAAATATTATAATGTATAATACTTGTTTAATGTTAATAATGCGCGTTTATTTATAGTGTCGTATACATTCGCACACAAACTTTTTTCGAGTTTTCTCGTGGGATAAACGCGTTTTCAGAAATAATTATAATTTCGCCGGGTATTGTACTGTTTTACATTTGCTGCGCGTCGACCACGGCGAACTTTAAGTTGCTCTGTTGGAACAATTTTGGCTTTTTCGGCGAACGACGCGCAACCGAATGTGTGAGAAACGGGAATACTGAATAATAATATCACGGACGGGTCGGCGAAGAAATTGTATATTACCAGCTACAGAGGAACGGTTAATATCCCGAATGAAAAAAACAAAAAAAAAAAAAAAAAACCAAACCAAACCAAACAGGAAACGCTTGTAATTATGTTATTACCGTGGACGCATAATGTTTATAATGAAATCGTTAACGAGATAATGGAAATTCGCGGGCGCACGCACGGCGTGCGTGTATTTTTCCTATTTATTCAAATTTCCTCCGCGGCCAACGGGTATAGGTATTGTACGCTATACCGCCGTCGTAACGTTGTGGGCAACGCGCGTAATAGTCACGTTTTAGTATGTTATTAGGTACTCGGACGTCGTCTAATTTCGTAATTAATACGACTTAATTACGTAGGTGTTAAGTGGCTATTTTCGAATCATTCGACCGTCGCGTTATTTTAATAATCGCGTCGAAAACACGGTTCTGTTTCGCGTACAACAACAGCGTTCCCGACCTAACCGCGTCTTCGACCCGAATTACGCGCGTAAATAATGACCGTCCGAAACGCGTGTGCGGGGGGTGCGCGTTCGCGAAAAAACGACACGCGAACGGTCGCCGCAGCGTTTTGAAATTGAAATTTACATATCGAACGCACTCGAACGCGAAAGCTCTGTCGGTCAGTTGGACCCCGCTCTGAGTTAACTATGGAAAACAAACGTCCACTGTGCGTAGCTATTATAAAACCAATTTGGACCTATGGCGTTCAACTGTGCGGTCGCGCTAGTAAGTCTAACGTTGATACAATACAACGTGGCCAAAAAACATCGTTCTCCGGACCATCGCTGCGGCCTACCGGTTCGAAAGAAACGACGCCGTTCGCCGCGATATTTCTTCTGCCTACAACGGCAGAAGAAATCCGAAAGTCTGCCCGTAAACACGGGAGGAGATTGGAGGACCGTATCAACCCAGCGGCCGTCGAACTGTTAGACAACTCCAAAGACACTAGACGCCTCAAACGTCCGGAACCACACGGCTCGGTATAAGCGTTTAAATCAAGTACGGGAGCCACTTCGTTGGAAGTGTGACTTCGTCGACGTGTAATGTACATGTATATACATATATATTATCATCTAGTACGTACGATATATCCTGTTAAACACATTTACAAAGACCGTTCGGGTCGTTTAAATAACAAAGCCCCCGGGGGGGGGGGGGGCATTTAGAAAAAAAAAAAAAAAATATATATATATTGAACGCAATACCGTTGTTTATCGTAATACAACGGAAGATCGCGGAAGATTATCCGGTGCGGTTTCGCGCGCTCGGAATCCAACCGCGTTTAAATCGTAATCGCGCGTGTTCAGCGTGTTATTATCGCGGGCGCGGGCCGTCGCGGGCGTTACAACGGCCGTAACGTCGTCCGTCGCGGGCGCCCGCGTGTGGCGATTGCCCGGTATCGCGTAAAACCGTGTCGCCGGTACGATTACGTGTGCGCGTGCGTGTCCGCGATTTTTCGACGCGATCGACGCCCGTAATATCCGCCGCGTTGCGCGCCCGCCGCCGTACGAATACCGGACGCCCGTCCGCTACGGGTACGCGCGGGAAACGCGACGGGTCGTCACGCGACAACGCGATACGCGCTCTTCTTTTTTCTTTTTCTTTCTTCTTCGGGCGTCCGCGCGGACAAAACGATTTCGTTTCGGCCTTTGCGCGGAGCCACGCTCGCGTGAACGAACGTTCGCGAAACAATAGCGATTGCGGGAACAACGATCAACGATTTCCGCGCGCGCCTTGCGGTTATACGTGGACGTCCGCGGACACTTAATTCAGACGGCGCGGAAAAATCGGCACCGTGACCGTAGATAAATTACGGGTGGACCGATACGCGACGCGATATTCGAAACCGACGACCCGCCGGGTACCTACGGGTCTTAGGCTCCGTGCGTACCGACGGAGCTCTATCGGTTTTACCAATGTTGTTTATTGTTATTATTATTATGTTTTTTTTTTTTTTTTTAAAACGAAAGCGCTGAAGTACACGTTTTCTCTAATAAACTTGCTCCGGCGTACAAGTGCAGCGTCTTTTATGAAAGCTCAAGTTGTCCAGATTGTTCTTTGAAGAGGTCGTTTTTTTTTTTTTTTTAAAACGAAAGCGCTGAAGTGGGGAAAAACGTCGGAAAACGTACAATTTCACGATTTCATTATTTTTTTTTTAAAACACGGACGACGTTTTCTACCGGAAAAAAACGATTTGATCGAAAAATCACTAGACGCCTTTTACGGGTTACTCAAGCTACACGGATGGAATGAAAAACAATTTAAAACAAAAAATACATAATAAACAGATATAAAAATGCCGTAACAACTATAGCCACTTAAAATAAACAGTCTATCTGACTATCTCCTGGTCTGTTATCGGCTTAAAATAAGATGAGCCTACTTGATAACATGGACGGAAAAAAAAAAAAACAAAAAACTATGCGCTCTACTGGGTGGGTAAGTGAAAATTGAAAACACGCAAAACGTCATCTTTGAATCTTTGTATTTGTCGGTACAGTAACAACACCACACCGCTATTGTGTCCTCGTAATTTTAGAACATTGTTAGTTTAGTTCGCCGCTAACGCATTTATCGCCGGTTTTTTTTTCATCCAAATTTTTTCAGCCTCGAGATCACGGAGAATCCGAAATAGATTATTATGTTAATATATGTGGATATCTATTTTTTTATTAGTATTATAGGTTCATGTACCAATTCCGATCCGGTCTCAACTCCCGTGTGTCTACCACCGTTGCATCGTTCGACCACGTGGTATTTTTCTGTTTAATATATTTATTTGTATATATGTATATAACTAGCTGTCCCGCGTTCGGCGTTGCCCTTGACAATTTTTCATTATTTTTACCTCTATTCCCGTTTTGCTTTGTCCGCATCGGTATATTGGACGAGAAAAAATATGTGGAAAGTGGATCAGTAACGAACTTATAGCGTTCTAAAATTATTAGGCCATAATAGTACTGTATTAGCGTAATGTTGCTACCGTACCGAAAAATACAAAGATTCAAAGATTGCTTTTTACGTATTTTCAATTTTCACTTACCCACCCAGTAGAGCGCATAGTTTTTTGTTTTTGTTTTTTTTTCCGTCCATGTTATCAAGTTGGCTCATCTTATTTGAAGCCGATAACAGACCAGGAGATAGTCAGATAGACTGTTTATTTTAAGTCGTTATAGTTGTTATGGAATTTTTATATCTGTTTATTATGTATTTTTTGTTTTAAATTGTTTTTCACTCCATCCGTGTAACTTAAGTAACCCATAATAATTCAACAAAAATAATTTAATTTCCATACCATAAATACCTAAGAACCTTTCATTCTTTTTCAAGTCATTAATCGAGATGAAGACTATACTATTTTTTAATTTGTACCACATCACACACATTGGTCATTGTTTTACCAAAATCGGTCGAGTAGTTTCAGAGTACGTCTTGCGTAAACTCGTCGTACGCGTAATTTGTATACATAAATATTGTCGTCTCTTTAATGTTATTTCGATACGAGACGGTCGATGATTGTATACGAATACAAATAGATGGATGCAGAATATTATTAGAATATTTATTATTTTTTCGCAAATCAAAGAAAAAAAAAAAAAGGGATCTGGATAGTAAATTGAGTACGACAACCGTGTTTTGTATATATAAGTTGACAATAAATTATTGTTGTATCTACACGTAAATACTAAACAGGTACTTGTGATAATAATATGAATCGTTAATGTTTCTGGAAATTGTCGGCTGCGAGCCGGTGCGTTTATAAAAAAAAAAAAAAAAATATTTCGCAGTGGGGGAGTGGGGTTAAGGTTATACATTTGCATACTCTCATAACAAAGAAGTTTACATACTTTCAACTATAGGATTATTTATTTTTCATTAAAAATGTCAACGTTTTATAACATTAATTTTTTTAGCTTTTTCGGTACAGTTATTACTAAATTTTACATTTAATATTTTTTTTAGCGAATACAGTCCGAATGACAAAACGTATTCATATTATTGTGATGATAATGCGGATTATGCGATATCGCCGTGTCAGTTATACCGTACGTTTCCGAAAGCAGGAAAACCACAAAAAAAAAAAAAATTGGAAATAATTACAATCTAGTAATAATATAAAAATAAAACCGAAATTGTATTCGTGTTCCTCGGCGACAGAAACCACTTATTAGACTCTGTTGGAAATCTACATTCATCGTAATCTGTATGAAATTCGGGGGGGGGGAAGGGGAGGGGGGTATTGAACCGCTACCGCCCTCCCACTTGTACACGCGCCTGGCTGCGAGTCAACACGCGCGAAACGGATCGCTCGGCTAATAACCCGGACGTTCGAGAACGAGAGACGTTCCTCAGTTCCCCGTACGCCGATAGCGTTGATTTGGTTTTCGGTACGATCGTATTTACTGACATGTGTTTCAGCACGCGTTCAGCGGTATTTTTCGCCGTAAGCGAAACGCATCGGCCCGTTTCCGTCGCAATAAGTTTAGCGCCCCCCCCCCCCCCCCCCCCCCCCCCCCCACCCACCCACCCACGCACGCCGGGATACCGCGAGTTTCTCCGCATCCGCTCCCGTGAAAATAAGGAGTGTAATTCCGAATATACGTATACACGTATACGTATATATACATGTATATGACCGAGAGACGCGGCCACAATACTGCGGTACCTGCCGCGGCGGTTGTGGGAGGAAAAGAAAAAAAAAAAAACGATTTCGACAATCGATTTCGCTCAACGAAATCGTCGTACCAAAATAATATTATAGACGCGACCGTCGGGTCATGACGAAAAAAAAATCACTGTGCATATTCAGGAAAAAAAAACTACACAATATATTATATACGTATTTAATCGGAATAAACAAGATTCCCACGGGGGACCCGATTCGTATATTACAATAGTGCGTGTTATTAATTTCACTCCGGACGAATGTGCAGTGCCGCAGGCGGTGGCGGCGGTGGCGCGCGCGGATACAGACAATAAAACGGGATTGTTGTACCGTATAATATTTGTTTTTTTTTCCCCCCCCCCCCCGTTCTTGTCGGCTGCTGTTCCCGGGCCGCTCACTCGGTCGATAAAGTACGATAAATAGGGGCGCGGGGGGGAAGGGGCAAAAGAAAAAAAACCCATACAAACGATCGCTTGTGCGTGAAATACAGTAAGTATGATAATACGTTATACGGGCAATAGGGTAAGGTAAAAAAAAAAAAAGAAAAAAACGATTTTTGTTTTTTATTTTTCTCCTCCCGAACCGAAAGGCACGATACAATAACAATAATAATAATAATTTATGCGCGTACACAACGCTGTAACGAAAACCGCCGAAAAACGCGCCGGCAATCGATACGGCGATCGGGCATTGCCGCGCGCGACAATCGGAATTTCTTCCAATTAACGACGCCGCGCGGATCGCGACGTACCGGACGGGGCACGGGTGGACACGGGTAGACGAAAAGCGCCATCGGACCCCGGCGACGGCCGCCGCGCGTAATCTCGCGTCCCCATCTGCGGCGCGTACCGTTTTCGTGTTTTCAACGATAATCCGTGTCCGCGCAACGCGGCCGTACACATTGAATTATCGTTGTTGCCGTCGCCGGTCTTTTTTTCGGCTCCCCTACCGCCGCCGCCGCCGCCGCACGGCACACGCTCGGCGACGGACATTCGCGCCGTCGTCGGATTAATAAAACGGCGCGGGTCCGCGGACCCGCGGCGCGCGATCGCGTGACGGTCACCCGTTCCGGCGCACACCCCGCGGACGTGCCCGTTCCCCGTTCGGCCGCTTGTGACGCGTTCAAACGACGGCTTTCGCGCCACTTCGCGGGGCCGGCTCGCATTGTTCCGCGACGTTATCAGTTTCGTCCGCGGAGATATTTTTTTTCCAAAACGGAATTCGACGGGGCGGCTCATTTCGTAATTGAAATTACAAAGCCCGTTGCGGGTGAATCGATAATAACCGAAAAAACTATGATCACCCGGAGAACAAATCAATGTGAAAACGCCGAACATTTATTTTTGTACAGTCTAAATAAAAAATTATTTTGTTTTATCGCCGTCGTTTGATTCGATTTCGATTATTTTTCATGTTATAATTATTGTTATTATTGTTTTTCGAGTCCGTCGGAAGTGTGCGGATTTCGATTTTAATAGCTGTCCTAGGATGATGGCCAACGAGGACGGGTGCGGCCGCGCGCAGTAGGTGGAAAGCCGGGGTGGTGGGATATAGACGTGAATTTAATGTATATCTGTACGCAACGATTAACCGTTGCTTACGAGAAAACGATTCTGAGCGGAGTGTTGCTTCGTCAACAATATATATGTCGTATTATGGTAAAACAAATACGCAATTTTCTTCAATAATATTTGTTTAATATTGTACCTATTTTCCCGGTTTTTACCGTTTATCGGGAAAACTCCCGGGAAAATCAAAAAAAAATGACCTCTATAAACTACCGCCCCGGTCAGATTTCATTTCGGAAAAAGTGCTATCAAACCATCGTTGTTAAATCGGAGTAAAATTGCCGGCCGAAAAGTTGTCCAAAGAAAGAAACAAACATGATTGAAAAACCTATACATTCCTCGCACCGCTCCGAATCTAAAATCGTACAACACAAGAATATTGTCGGTATATTGTAATATTGTATCGTAAGTTATCTTTTTTTTATCCCGCGGAAAAGGACGGCTCCGGTTCGCTCGATTGTGTACATAGTTTTCAATGCAAACGGAGTCAATGTTGAAAATGACTAAATGGAACAACGGCCGAATCGTTCAACGGCCCTTATCCAAACGTGGCGTTCGAAACGGCTTAATAGATTCTATGCCTAACAAAAAGCACATAGCGGTGACTCGAGACGTTTCAACTTTCAGTATGCCACGGATTAGAATATTAGATAGGCGCGCGTATATGGCATTTAGAGCAAAATAATAAAAAAGGACAAAAATATCGCAAAAGACAAAAAAATAATGCAAATATTGACTTAATTCCAGTTCCTCGGGACCAAAGAATTATATCGATACACGTTCTATGGATTGTCGCGGCTGTTTTTAAAATCTAAAGTCTTACAATGATTTAAATGTCGATTATCAAATGCGACTTGGCGTTTTCGTATCATAATACGCAGGGGTTACCCCTACGCTTTCAGAAGTAACGACGAAAACCATCGCGTTTTACGGAAAATCGATCGACATAATGCATTGTTATACGATAGTTCAAGGATAACGGACGGGTACGTCCGACGTGCGCCCGTAATTGTTATTCGTCGATGTGTCGTATCGTTGTTGCTAGACCGTTGAAAAAATCGTGTTGAAGATTTAAACGTGTAATGCACATTTAAAAAGGGGGTGGGGGTGGGGGCGGGTCAAAACGTTTTGCTATTTATACTCCGCATATAACACTGACAAACCGGCAGACTGGAAATTTATTTTTCCATTCGCGTGTGTGCATTACGTGAAATAACGAGACGCGACGCCATCGCGGAGATTTTATTACCGCGCGCACTTTTCATCCCCGAAACACACGATGTTACACGCGTATAACAGCGCCGGCTGTGTATTCACGTTCGAGGACGTACCAAGTCGTCCTTCGGGGGAGCAGTGACGAATGCGTCCGGTAACACAAATACGTATATTTACATCGAGTGGCTGCACACGTTCCCGATTTAGCCTGGTGTTTATTGCGCGCCATATACGTGCGCAAGACGCCGTTATACGCATACGTATAGGCACCCACCCTTATGCACGCCGAGTCAAATAAATTGGCGATCCGACGGCCGCGGATCACGCGCGATTTCCCGAAAGTAGGTGTTCGCATTTGTTCGCGTTTTGAAATTGCCAAAAATAAACCGTCCGAAATTCCGTGCGTTTCACGCCTACGTCGTGTCTACGTCGAAAACGTAAAACGTAATGTTTTCGTGTTAGTAACGGGTTGTGTACTGTATACCGTCAGAACGATAGAATACACCAAAACAATATCTAATATTTATAATAATTTTTATAACGTGACCGCTACGGAGATACTCGCCATAGGGAAAAACGGATGTTTGAAACGCTACTGTTTCGGTCGGTAAAAATGTTTTCCAAACCGTCCGCGTCGAAAAACACCTAAAGACGGAGGCCGTGCGCAATCGATTTTCGTTTACCATATGTTCGGCCCCTCTTATCCAATCGACGTTATTTTGTTTCGAGCGCGCCGCCGGTGTGAAACCGTGTGTCCGGCGCAGCAACAATAATAATACTTACCCGGCGGTTACCGATGTATTATTATTATAAAGAAGATCGCGAGGTGGAATCTGGACGGACAAGGAACCGGGTACACGGTGGCGAGCAGCGGGAAACGATGTCAGGGGGGTTATGTCCCGCCCGTCGGCACGCCGCAGTGGTTACCCGTTAACGATGTAATGTATATATGTAAATGCGGATTATCCGAATATCCGGATTGCGGATCGCGCGTTGCGAATATTCGATTTTTTCGATTTTTTTTAATCTGTTTTACATAATATTTGCGTACAGATCTTTCGCTACGCTCACAATCTAAAGTACGTACGGTTTTATATAGAAGCAAAAAAAGTTTATAACATATTTGCCAGCGGCCGCGACCTTTCGCCCGTATCTTATCTTCATTCGATAATTTTACGTAGGTAGAGTGCGGATTAACAATAAATTACTATCAGATAATTCACGTAATAATATTCATTTTATCCTATTAAAATATTACAATAAATTTATATTTTCGATTATATTTTGAATCAAATGAAAAAAAAAAAAAAAAAAAAAAAAACGCCCGTAACAGAATCCAATAAAGTTTCAATATTGATTTGAAACTCAGATTTTTCAATTTCGAGTTTCGAAAATCTGGATTAACGAACGTCCGGCGAGTTCGCATTTTTCCCGCTGCCGAAGTGGCTGCGACCCGAATGAGCTCACGTGCAATCGAACGATAAAAAAAAAAAACCCAAAATACGATACGATTGAACACAGAAATACGTTCAACATTGTCGTTTTTACCACTCGTACGATAAACGTGTCGATATTTTTTTTTTTTTACTTACGAAATACTTGTACGCCACTTTCAATACATCTCAATATAACGACGCGGTCGTTTTTCTCATTGAAAATGTCTGCGAAAAAATTGTTTATGAATATCGTAAAAAGAAAAACGCATAATAAATAAATCGGACGCTTCAAAGCGGTATCCTTAATACCTATCTCGTTCGCTTTTAAACGAATGATTTAGTAGATTTTCAGAATATTCGTTTCCCGAAACGACATTCGTCGTACACCGCACCAACGGTCGGCGTTGCGGTTTTTCTCGCCTCCCGATAAAACCGACGTTTTCGTCACTGCCGGTTTCAATCGACCGCGCGCCGCGGCTTTACGCGCGCGTTGTGGAGTGCACGAGCACAACACGAAAGCCGCGCAGCGTGTCTGTCGCGTGACGGCGCTCGGTTGTGGACAGACGGTAAAATCGGCGGCGTTGCGTTCGCTCAATCGGGATCGTTACGGGCCGCGCTCAACAGGACCCGACAGGAAACGGGCACCGTGCCCGGACACGCGCGCCGGGCGCGATTCTCGTGCCGGGAAATTGGTAAACACGACCGACCGATAAACGTGCGACCGCGGACGTTCGTCAGGCAGTCGCGCCCGTAGTGCGACCCGTATGCACGCGCGCGACTAGACCGCCAGCTCCGGGGGCGCTAAAGTCACGAACGCATCAAAGACCCCCGTGGGGGCTACGCCCGCACGACGCCCTCCGCGCGCGCGTCTTCTATCAATAGCCATAACCGCGCGTTTCGTTTATACGATTTTGTGTACGCGAATTTCTCGCGACCGTTTTAACGTTGTTTCTCATACGCGCGCGCGTTGTCCGTAGGAAACCTGCGTTTAGTTTTGTTCGTTAATCGTGAAATTCAAATCATATTCAGTTCGTTACTACGAACAACCCGATCGAGTTTTTCGGAGGCGTCGGTCTTAAACTCGGGAGCGCTCCAGCCACTCTCCCCCCCGCCACAGTTGTGTTTATTCGATTACGATCGCAATCCGGCCGCGTACGCGGTTTTCTTACCCGGGGCGGAACAATCGGCGTACGCCGTTTTCGTCGCCGCCGGGTATAAAACCGAAAGGTCGTCGGGACGGAACTCGGATGGCGGCCCGCGGACGCGCGCCTGTCCCGCGGTCGTCGGTCGGGGTTTCCCCCGGCTGTGCAGTATCGCGACGGAGAGGACGGGCCGCGCGCCCACGGCGGTACTGTTGTGTCGTATCACGTGAATCGATTGCGCGGCGACGAAAAACGGGAACAATAACAACAGCACGACCGAGTAAACGAACAATAATAATAAAAAAAATCAAAAAAAAAAAATAATAATAAGATCCCCCGGTGGCCGGCCGGCCGTTCGTTCGCGGGCGAGAGGGGTGGGGGCGCTGCCGGCCTGTCGAAATATCATGCGCGGCGACGCGATAATTCCTATAATTTTCGGCCGACGACGACGTGTTCCGCGGGGACGCGGTGACGGGGCTACCGGCTCGGGAGACGTGCGCCGTCGCCGTCGGACGCGCTGTACGCACGTCGTTATTATTCCGTCCGTTTATTAAAAAAAAAAAAAATATCATTATTATTAAATCGACACCGCGTTTTACTCGGCGCCGAGGTTTATTACGACGTACCTGTAAATATTATTATTATTATTATTATTGTTATTATTATCTGTGCCGTACGATCCCCGGGACGACAATGGCGGCGGCGGTACGATTGTGCGAGAGCGCGCGCGGTCGTTATTTTCATTGTGTAAAATGACTCGACAACATTGCGATATTATCGTCCGTTCGCGATATAAATATATAATAATAATATATTGTGAATAAATAAAATACACCGGGTCCTGTACGGGTCACACGGGTGTTACGCGAACGGCGCG